CAAATACCTCCATAGCTTTACTAAGGGACAGACACATCAAATACCTCCATAGCTTTACTAAGGGACAGACACATCAAATACCTCCATAGCTTTACTAAGGGACAGACACACCAAACACCTCCATAGCTTTACTAAGGAACAGACACACCAAACACCTCCATAGCTTTACTAAGGGACAGACACACCAAATACCTCCATAGCTTTACTATGGAATATTGATAGTGTCTGCAAATCTTTGGAGGTTTTTGCTTAACAAATTACAAAATGACGGCTGCCTTTAGATCAGAAGCATACATACAGAAATCTTATAGACTCTAAAACCGTTTAGAATCGCAAAGAAAAGTTTTATAATCACCAAAAAATATTTTTAACTTTTAGACTTGCAGGAAAACCATTCATCTTTTAGAATAGTAGATAAACATTTTAGCCTTTGCACTTGGAGAAATTATATATGAGCAAAGAAAGCATTGATCATTTAGACTCCTAGAGAAACACTTATATCTTTGAGACTCATGGAGAAACCGTTTAATCAAGACATAGACAAGCCTTCTTATCCGAGCACCACTGGGGCCACTAAGTCCCTTTAGACTGGACACGTTTATTACTTACATAACTGAAATGCATTGTGGAACCTCGTTGAGACCCACATGACACTGGTGGTGGTCATCCCTTTAGTCATCACCAACCGTTGACTATAATAACTGCATGGTTTCTACGAAAGACCTACCAACAATAAATCATCGCTGAACAGTTTTCTTTCAGTCATAACATCCACCTTTGTTTCATACAAGAAAACATTTATATATAATTAAAAAAAAAGGAAAATAATTTAGTGAACTTTGACCCCTTCTCATTACCTGGACAATTGCAATGTGCAAACCTAAGGGTGGAATATGAGGCACAAAATTAAATTTCATTAAAACAATAACCATTCAGAAGTTATGTAACTTCACATAAGCTCACAGGCAATTTGTTCCAGGTAAGCTAAAGACACAACAACCAGCATATAACTAAAAGTAACATTTATTTTTGAAACCTAGAAATACATATTTGGGTAGATAAATCATAAGACAAACTAAAAGTAAGAATACTCTGCCTATTATTTATAACTATTCTGATACATACATGTAAGTCAATTGACAGAAAAGGGGAGATAATCACAAGTTTTCCTACAGCTCTATGACGTAGAGTGTAGACTGGCAGAGAGACCAGTCAAGACATTTAATCTGGGTAGTTAAATCAAGAAGAGCCATGTACAATATAAATACCAATTTTATCACAGATTCTTTAACAGATATGGATTTTAACGTGTTAAATATGTTTTACCAGTACTACATGAGATATGATATGGGGACATCTGATAGTGAAATGAGAGTGTTATAAGGGTGGACCTGTTCTACATATGCAAGGTGATATTGATACAACTACAGATACACAAAGGCTTGTAAAACATTACTGTACATCATCCATACAACAAAATACGTCAAAACATATTTTTCTTCCACAATCATATTTTCCCCTAATGCGATCACGTTTTGGTTTTGATATAAACATTGACATTCTTATTCATTTTGGTATAACACTTCTCTAACATAACATGCGAGATAGAGCCAACGTCAATGTTGAGTAGGTTGGTTGAGTAGGTGGGGTACTTCGTTGTGAGTGTGGATACCGAAAGGTATGCAGGGTAATTGAATAAAAAGTTGCATATAAATCCAGGTAGGTTTCAATCACAACACGCTCAAGCGTTACCAATGCGTGGGTTTTTATTACGGTCAACTAGTTTCGACTCTATGTGCGAGTCTTCATCAGGACATTTTTTCAAGCTATTTCAGCCCTTGAAGTACTAAAAATGGGGTGCAGTTTTACACTGTTAGTTATTACATGACGTCATCAATAGATAGATAATACACAATAGTGAAGGGTGGGTAAGCCCTTCTTAGATGTTCTAACTTTATAGATATGCTGTGATCATTAAAAATGTCTTTCTCTGAAATTCAAACTTATTGGTCACATGTGGTTTTATATATATTGGTATTTCCGTAGTTGATTTTATGATATTTATGAATACAATAAACAATAAACATGCATAATATTATAGTGTTTTTGTTATATATTCGTAGAGTGTTTGTTTGATTAATTTAGTTCATCCTGGCACCATGTGCCGCTTGACAGTGAAATATTTGTTAGCTGTTTTTCTCTTCCGCCCTCACTTGAAGTGTCTAACGATGAAGTGGTGTCTCTTATCATCAGGTCTTCTTTGAGAGTGTCCATTATTTCCCCCATGATTGGTCTGATTGTAGGTCGTACGCTGAATTTTACATTGTCTAATTGTTTTTTGGTTAAGGCTTCCGCCGGTTTGTGCCATTTATTGGGCACCGCGCCTTAGTCCTTAGTTGTTTCTTCCCTCACTTCTGGTTCGATTTTATATAAGGGGTGTTCATTCTGTTGGTGGCGTTTATAATGTTCTCTCCTGCCGTATGCCCGTTTGCAAATTTTGCAAACATAACTTGTCTGCTTTCCTCTGCCGTGTCCGAGATTAACATGTCGGCGCAGGCTCCATAGTGCACCGAACGTGCTCCCACACAGAATGCACGGGAGCCGTAATTTAGGTCTCAGAGCTTTTAGTTTCTTTATGGCTTTAGTATTGTTGGCTGCTGGCTTCGCTATAATAGTCGAGTTCTTTGCTTTTGTAGTTTTCGTGTTTGCCATTATTTCTTTTAGGTGAAGAAGTTCATTCCCCACGGTCGTTCTGTTTTCAAGATATGAATCCACGCTTCTTCTGTTCTTAGCCGGATGTTGACGTTATGTATACCCGACACAATGCCTGTAACCATAACGTTATCAGCATTGTGTCCAGGTGCATTGAAATGTGCCGCGACTGGCTTGCGCTCATCTTGGCGCGCAATGTCGTAGAGGTGATTTCTGGTTCTGGTGTTTATTGTGTTGGACGTTTGACCTACGTATTGTAGTTGGCATTTCTTGCAGTTGATGACATATACCGCATTAATGCTCTGACAGTTTATGCTGTTTTTAATTTTGGCTAGTGAACGTGTCACATACGTTCATGTGTTTGCAGATTCTGCAGTTTTTTCCACACGGCCGGCTGGCAGATAGTCACTAGTGAAGTCACTGCGTACCAGATAGTTTCGGATTGATTTAGGTTTGGTATACTAACATTCTTGAGGTTAAGATTTTCTTTGTTTCCGGGTTGTACTTTTAAAAGTATGTGTTCATGAGCAATTGTTTCCCTCCAGTTCTTTTGCGAAAACAAATATATACAGGTCACCTTCATAAAAGGTCGTATAATGACTCATCGTTACTCCGTAGATACGGACCTAACATAATTAAAACACTATCACAACAAATAATTAACAAATCAGTTACATGATAGAAGTCTACCAATTCGTACTTATATACTGTATAAAAACCTATTTAGAAAAATATACATCTTTGCAAATTTTAATATTTTATAACCAATTGTCAATAACATAATTCAAATTCTTGTTAATGGTAAATACATATATACCTGAATAATAAATATTGCAAGAAACTATAAACATCTTAAAATATTCCTATGATTTGCTGAATTCATCCCTATAAGATTTGCATGTGATTGCTGTCCCTGTATCCTCCAGTACAGGAAGCCTCATCTCATGGTGACAAGTTCCTCAGACGACGTCGGGTGGATAGCGACGGTCTCATCAAAATGTTTTTTTGTGGCACCCATTTTGATGGCAACTGCAAAGCCCTGAAGCATTTCGTCGACACCTTGCCCAACCATGTGTAAACCGATCACCTTCATGGAACAGATAAAAACATTGTTCATTTGTACTTACACATTTTTTTAAGATAACTCTCAAATTGGAGAAAGGAAAGGCTCAAACGACATTTTGTCAAGTGTGATATGATCTTGATCAATCATAATATAGTATTACATTGTATTACAAAAAGGTGGTCTGGGTATTGGTCAAAATGCCCAGGATTTGTTCTATAATGTATCAGCTGAGTACATTCGTTACACCTGAAGTGTGGCATCTCCAATATAGACAAGTTACACTGCTAATGATACTGTAAAGCGTAGGAAAACGAAAAGCAAAAACGTTTTATAATCGTGTTCCCCTCAGTGTTTATATATAAAATACTTTTGATATCCACATAACACAAAAGTTAAAACAAGGCAAGTCCAACGTTAACTGGAGATTGTGAGGATTATCTACAGGCTATAATTTCTCACCTTTTCTTCCGGCTGGAGACAAACAAGCTTCATGCAACACTTATGTTTAACACTGGTTACTGCGTAGTACATGGGTGTGAAGACGGATGAATATATCTTTATGTTGTCATCACCATATTTGTCCCGAGCCTCCACTGAAATTGCAATAACAATGGTGGCTAGACATTTCACAAATTGTAAAGATCATAGCCAAGAATGAATAATCTCTTGCAAAAAAATGCTTCTATTCTAGGAAAGGTAAAGGACAGAAGTCTTAATAAATGCACAGTATGTATTGTTTATTACCATAAGGCAGAATCCTGTAATCTGATTGGGTAAGATAAAAGATTCAAACTACATGTATCAAATTTGTATTACAAAGTAAGATAATGGAGAATGGTCATTGAAAGGGAGACAACCCCGTGTAAGCCATTATCTTCTATCTTCTGTGCATTCATTATATAGTTATCAAGTATATAATTTAATAGTCCATCTCATCTAACAGCTGAATACTGATTGGTCTTCTGGTATTCTACATTTTTAACTTGACAGTTTCAGCTTCCCAACATGAATGACATCCTCTCATTGATTAATACCCAAAGTTTAGAGCCTAAACCAGTTTACTTTTTTTCTCGTAGTATAAAAACACTGACATTTAAAAAATATATAGTAAGTAAGACCCAAAAGTAGTAGATGTAATATTTCCAACATTAATACAAGGCTTACTGGGCTATTTCTAAACTAGAGGAAATTTATATATATGTTTTCACATCAGATATCCATTGATCTGTTCAGTTGTATGATACCACTGGAGAAAACACCTGTCAAAAAGTCCTGTTGTTTGTGGTGAGATATATAATGTTTCTACCTTCTGTCTGTTGTTTGTGGTGAGATATATAATGTTTCTATATAGCTACCTTCTGTCTGTTGTTTGGGGTGAGATATATAATGTTTCTACCTTTAGTCTGTTGTTTGTGGTGAGATATATAATGTTTCTATATAGCTACCTTCTGTCTGTTGTTTGTGGTGAGATATATAATGTTTCTACCTTTAGTCTGTTGTTTGTAGTGAGATATATAATGTTTGTACCTTTAGTCTGTTGTTTGTGGTGAGATATATAATGTTTCTACCTTCTGTCTGTTGTTTGTGGTGAGACATATGTTTCTACCTTTAGTCTGTTGTTTGTGGTGAGATATATAATGTTTCTACCTTCTGTCTGTTGTTTGTGTTGAGATATATAATGTTTCTACCTTCTGTCTGCTGTTTGTGGTGAGATATATAATGTTTCTTCCTTTAGTCTGTTGTTTGTAGTGAGATATATAATGTTTCTACCTTCTGTCTGCTGATTGTGGTGAGATATATAATGTTTCTACCTTCTGTTTGTTGTTTGTGGTGAGATATATAATGTTTCTTCCTTCTGTCTGTTGTTTGTGGTGAGATATATATAATGTTTCTACCTTCTGTCTGTTGTTTGTGGTTAGATATATAATGTTTCTACCTTTAGTCTGTTGTTTGTAGTGAGATATATAATGTTTGTACCTTTAGTCTGTTGTTGGTGGTTAGATATATAATGTTTCTACCTTCTGTCTGCTGTTTGTGGTGAGATATATAATGTTTCTACCTTCTGTTTGTTGTTTGTGGTGAGATATATAATGTTTCTGCCTTCTGTCTGTTGTTTGTGGTGAGTCATATGTTTCTACCTTTAGTCTGTTGTTTGTGGTGATATATATAATGTTTCTACCTTCTGTCTGTTGTTTGTGTTGAGATATATAATGTTTCTACCTTCTGTCTGGTGTTTGTGGTGAGATATATAATGTTTCTACCTTCTCTCTGTTGTTTGTGGTGAGACATATGTTTCTACCTTTAGTCTGTTGTTTGTGGTGATATATATAATGTTTCTACCTTCTGTCTGTTGTTTGTAGTGAGATATATAATGTTTGTACCTTTAGTCTGTTGTTGGTGGTTAGATATATAATGTTTCTACCTTCTGTCTGCTGTTTGTGGTGAGATATATAATGTTTCTACCTTCTCTCTGTTGTTTGTGGTGAGACATATGTTTCTACCTTTAGTCTGTTGTTTGTGGTGATATATATAATGTTTCTACCTTCTGTCTGTTGTTTGTGGTAAGATATATAATGTTTCTACCTTCTGTCTGGTGTTTGTGGTGAGATATATAATGTTTCTACCTTTAGTCTGTTGTTTGTGGTGATATATATAATGTTTCTACCTTCTGTCTGTTGTTTGTGGTGAGCTATACAATGTTTCTACCTTCTGTCTGTTGATTGTGGTGAGATATATAATGTTTCTACCTTCTCTCTGTTGTTTGTAGTGAGATATACAATGTTTCTACCTTCTGTCTGTTGTTTGTGGTGAGCTATACAATGTTTCTACCTTCTGTCTGTTGATTGTGGTGAGATATATAATGTTTCTACCTTCTGTTTGTTGTTTGTGGTGAGATATATAATGTTTCTGCCTTCTGTCTGTTGTTAGGTGAGATATATAATGTTTCTTCCTTCTGTCTGTTGTTTGTGGTGAGATATATATAATGTTTCTACCTTCTGTCTGTTGTTTGTAGTGAGATATATAATGTTTGTACCTTTAGTCTGTTGTTGGTGGTTAGATATATAATGTTTCTACCTTCTGTCTGTTGTTTGTGGTAAGATATATAATGTTTCTACCTTCTGTCTGTTGTTTGTGGTGAGAAATACAATGTTTCTACCTTCTGTGAGTCCAATAGTACCAGTAGGGGGGTGAGAGAACACGACCGTGGCGATATTATCATAGTCCAGCTTCAAGTCAGGTTTGTTGTCAAACAATCTATGTGCTAGGCGGCGACCGGCTGCTATAGCAACTGTAAACATATAATTAAATAAAGTACTCAAATCATAATACTTTAAATACCCTCAAAAGTTCCACAAATTGCACGATATTTAAAAATAACTAAACATTTTGATGATTATATTTTGAATTTATTTAAAATCACAGTTTACCGGCTGGTCCCTTTTGTCAAGCTTTAACCGAGTCCCATTGTGTAATTTCAGTCATAGCTTGACAAAGGGACCAGTCGGTCTCCAAACGTTGCAACAGATTTAAATACATACAGTGTTTGTGTACATTAAGTAAAACCTTTCGATCTGATGAATCTTATTGAAATATTGGAACTATTTGAATTTGGGAAACGAACAACACAAGATATCAATGAATTGTTTGTTGGAAATTGTACTCATCCTATCAAACAATTTGTCTGGGGTATAAATACCACTTAAAAAACTAAAATTCAATAGTTGACCAAAGCATATTCTAATTCACTAAGATATATGTTATGCACATCATAAATAGAAATCTTTGGGGTGAAAGTGGGAACTCCTATACTATTATAAAGACAAAAACGTCGCATCCACACAAAACACAAAAATAAATGGCTATTTACAATTCAAGCTGTAGTAACAAATAATGTAAATGACAGTGAATTTGACGTACCTGGAGTAAGAAGAGCCTTGCCACAGACATCCCCGAGAGCATAGATGTTTTTGGCGTCTGTGTTCTGGAAGGCATCCACGATGATGTGGCCCTTCTTGTCCAACTTCACTCCCTGATACAGAGGACATCACACTAAATATTGATATCAGGGATTCTACCTGATACAGAGGACATCACACTAAATATTGATATCA